ATTACTCAAATTATAGTGATACTTTTCATCGAGACCGATAATAAAAACGGGCAAAACAGCTCCCGTCTCCTGTTCACTTATTGAAGTCCCAATTCGGATCAGAATACAAACAAAAAATCGCCAACAATCAATTATCGATGTAGCTTTTAACGAGCTGCGATCGAATAGAAAAGCCCCAATAGCTCGGTTCCGGCTCTTCACACTAATAATTTATCAAAGTTTTCACACAAATTGCAATTTCTTTCGGGCGATCATTAGAACGAATCCAACGCGTCCAAGGAGACACACAGTGAAACATTTTCGGGAGTAATTTCAATAGAGTGGATTTCAGAAATAACTCCGATTGAATCAACACTTGATAAGCAATATTATATCAATATTATTAGAAATTTGATAATATGGTGTACAGTGGTGTCAATTTACACCTTCATAGTGAATAATCACACGACTAATGTGGTAATTTAGAGGGGTTCCGACGGGTTCTGAAATATCCATTTTAAAGAAACACCAATAGGATGAAAAGTAATCTCTTTCGATAGTGGAATTTTTCAATTTAACGCAGAAAATACACTGATTATCAAAACAATAACACCTAGTTACGAATAAATCAAAACCGTGCATGAATCATGAGATTTGGGGCTAATATAATTCACTCATCGTCTATGATTTTAAGATTGCGAAGCTATATAGAGTACTTTTAACGAACCAAATTGAAACATGAAATTGAATATCAAAATATATATTTTTTGCATATTGAGTAAATATCTTGATAGCTGGCGACACTAGCGCTCTTTATTCGATGCTTGTCTCTCGACAGCCTTCAAATATTATCAGCTCAGAGATGTTTTGTAATGTCTCAACTCTTACTAAAATGGATCATCCCATACACTGAATACTAATGTTAGTATATCAGAGTCGTGTTTTTTACAAACACTCAGATGTAGACAAGAAAGCACCGTTTCTCAGCGTGATAACACTCAATAAGTTTGTTTTCACAACAGAAAAATATCCGCATATCATAATATTATCAGTAAATGCAAAAACAGAACAGATGTACAGTGTCAAAATAATCACCATTTGATTATACAGTACACCAAAACAAATCCTGTATGAATTTGCGGAAGTTGAACCAATTGAATGTGGACTCTCGTATGTGGCATTCAAATATATCACAAAGAATAAAATTTCCACAATCAAAGAACATCTCGAACAAAACGTTATGTTTCGCTGACACAGTAGCTTTCCCATACTATGTCAGTCAATCTACATTGACTTGCATATTTTCTTGCTTTTATTGAATATACCTATATGTACTCTGAATATATACATTGGTGATTTATTTCAATATTATACTGAGATCTGAACTGAGTATGTACTTATTACTACAAATATTGATATTTGCTTTTTATTATCTGGAAGACGCCAATGGAAAAAGATTTGTCATGCCTTGGTGGAATTAGGCTTATTAGGTTGATACCTAGCAACTTTTCGTTGTAGGCAAGGTCTTGTCAGTATCAGAAAGGAAATTCTGTACTGGCGTCTGAATCACACGGAATAGTACGAGAACCTGATCAACAGGTATACTCCCTGAACAATACCTAGGAGGGCACCTCAACAAGAATATATATAGTGGGCGACGACTGAAAACATCACTGAATATTGAATCACTATCAGAACTTGTTTATCGGTTTCGATATCGAACAATTCAATCAACGAGATCCCCAGACAACAGCAAACGCTCTCTAGACCAGCAATTGAACTCGTCGTCAATCGTGCGACTAGGCGAGGGGAAAAGGGTTTTTATCCCCTCGCAGCACAGCCAGCCGATAAAAATGAAACCATCAAAAGCGCATATTCATTATGAGAGCCGTTCAAGTGTGGCGTTGCATAAAATTAATTAGCCACCGTAGGTACACGTACCAGCGTTTTAATAACATTCGGCCAACTAGGCTGTCGCTGCGGCCGGCACTCTTGATTAATGCAACCACTTTACATTAACAATCCCGTAAATGCAAATTTCCACCCCCGAGCCGCCCTCCCGCTGGAGCAGAGGATCCGGCGAAAGGAGATCGCTGCTCGACCACAGGTGGCGAGACCCTCACTTTTTGCGTCTAGGATAATTGAAGACACGAGTGGATAAAGGGTCTATGTGACATTTAAATGAAAAATGAGATTTTTGGGTGGATAAAGGATTTAAGTGAGTAGAATGTATTCCCTACTAATACCGTTCATCTATTGTACAAAATAAGAAAGTTATATATTGATGAAAGATCTATGTTCACCTATGTTCTATCATTGCCACTGGATGAAGGGTTCAAGTACATTGTATTGTATAAACATGAATCCTTCATCCATGATTATTCTATTTGTCGGGTACTTGAAACAAACTCTGTTTATTTGAAGAATGAAGGATTCATGTACCTTTTTTGAGTTTTTTTTTTTTTTACTGTATTATATACCAGTGTCAGATGTACTATGCAAAATTGTGTAATAAAGGTCTATTCAAACCAGCGATTATTTTTTTCATTCAACGCAATACAAAAAACTGCGGCATCAAAAACTTTGAACATCATTTGCTCCAAATTAATTTTGTGTGACTTGAACCCTTTATCCACTTGTGTCTTCAATTACGAGGGTGATTTTGCTGCGTACTCGAGTTTGCAAGATCTCAAACAATCGAATGAACAATTTTTGTATTTCGTGTGAAAGGACCCCGCACCATTTACATTGAAATTTTGTCTACGGTGAAAGTTTGTGTAAATCTAGGATTGGATAGATCAAATCATGCTGATCAAGAAATGTTCTTTGGTCCAATGTGCGGATTTTTAGACTAATTAGAATAATTCTTGCTATAGTGGTTAATTCGAATCTGTTTCGTTCCTTAACTTGATCTGTTAACAATTATTTCAGTAGTATGTACAAACATAATTTGGTCCCAGTACCTCATATCTGGCGCATCAGCTGTACTATTATCGAATACTTCAAATATGTTATTTCATACACTACTCATACAAGGTATCCGTAAAAATGACTTTAGTTCGGAATCAAATAGGTATTACTGAACATAAATATTGAATTTGACCCAAAATGAAAAATGTTATCAACAGGATCACAGAACTACCCTTTGTTTTGCGAGTTAATTCCAGGAATGATTCAATTGATCACCATGGAGGCACTATTTTGAGATGATCTTCTGGGAACCAGGCACAAAATGTTGATAATGTTATGGAGTAGAATGAACCTCTGGCATTCATTTTTGTGAAAAAATTATCATTATCCCTTTGGAGACCAATAGTAATTCGATAATTCTTCATACAATCTGAGTATTCTGTGAATCGCCATTATATTCACAAGCTCCATAATCTGAGAAAGAGTGGAAAAATAGTTGAATCATAACAATGATATATTCTTCCTAAACACGAAATGATGAAAATATATAAGGTTATTTATGAACCACAAGAATTGTGAATACGAGTGTGAATATATATCAATAAGATAGAGATTGGTCTGGAAATACGTCCTTATCCAAAGTCATGGTAAATCGAATTCTTGCCTCTGTGATCTTCAACTCTTTCATGGCATCTAGGAAAGTTGTCTACAAAACGAATTCTGCGATTTGACTTCCTTTCATGACATCAAATTGATGTACTACACTGGAGGTTTCAGTGACGTCCGAGTCTGGCCGACTAAGAGAATCACTGGTTTATTTATCAACTTCGCTAACTTTCGTTGCATTGCTATCACATCATTTCCAGTCTGCTTACATCTCGCCAACGCTTGCTACATTTGAAAACAAAAGTGAGTAGCTAATGATATATCCACTAAAGATGAAAACGTCAGGATTGAACAGGACTACCCTGAGGGATCACTGACCAAGTCACCAAAATACATAGTTATCAATGAATCTGATCAGAGCGTCGTTTTGCATTGCATGTTCCTATGTAATATATATTATATCGTCCTTCTGGAACGTCCCAGACAGCACCAGATATTCCATGAATCTCCCTATCATATTCCTTTTGGGATATTGGAATATTCCAGAAATAATCTGGAATATTATCCGGAATATCTGTGGAATATTCTCTAAATATGCGAATGGGAATTCCTCAGATAATCATAGAATATACCCAAAAGAATATTCTATGTTGAATGTTCCTGGAATATTCCAATAAACATATTCTAAAATTAAAAAAAGTGACCCAAGTAGGGATCGAACTCGTGACCTCAAGACTATCAGAGCGACGCCTTGACCACTAGGCCAGTAATCGAATTGAATAATGTTATACATATCAAGTTCTTGTGAGAGCATTGTTCGAAATCGGATCATAAACACTTTTTGTTTCAAGATCCCCTCACATCTAATTGATGTTCGATACTCACATCTCTGAAATAATAAATGTTATTTATGTGTTGAGAAACATAGGGATATTCATGGAATATTTCATGAATATACACCACAGAATATTCAGTTGAGAATATTTCATAAATATACCGCACAGAATATTCAGTTGGGTATATTTCATGAATATACCGCACAGAATATTCGTTGGGTATATTTCATGAATATAAAACAGAGAATATTCAGTTGGGAATATTCCTAGAAGATTCATACCTGAATATTCCCTGAACATGTCCGACTATTCACTTTGGAATATTCTTTTTAGATGTTCCAGAGGCATGTATATATTCTAGGAATAATCAATGAATATTCGGAATATACTCCTCCTTTTTAGCATATTTAGAGAATATTCTATGAATATCCAGTGCTGTCTGGGGTCATCCTGACGTATACATATAACGAATTGTAATTGAATCTCATTAAAGGGGCTCTCTGGCGTCATTACAGGAAATGTACTCAACTTCGCCATTTTGACAACCTGGGTAGGAAAACTCGTAGGTAATGTTTTCCCCTCATTCACGAAACAAATCAGATTTGATACCGCATCTAATCGTTTAGAATTGAATATAATCTATAACAGTTCAATCTGAAGGGTGCTCACCTGTTGAATGCGCTAAAACAAGTGAACGTGGTAGTACGCAAAGTCGCCTCGGAAATAACGAACATCCGACAGTCGTCGAGATAATCCAGAATCCAGAGAACGCGAGATCAAAAACAACACAATACCGGCCCGAAAAGAGAGAACAAAAGATATATCGCGTTCCGAGTCCTCTCGGTTTCCTTTCTACGAACCGCCTGCACTCGATTACACGGATACTGATTTAAATGCAAATTTAAAATGTCTTTCAATTTATAATCTTATTTCTGTTGAAATTACTCCATTATGAAGGCTGATAGCGCGGTGTCGTTTTGCAGCCTTCCGCCATCCATTTTGTGTCGACCACCGAAAGAGAGGAGAATTTCCAGACACCGGCTAATTGACTGTCGATTACGAGGGACTTTTTTTTTCCATTTTATCGGAACGGCAAAAAGTGTCGAATTGATACCGAAATGGAGTTGACATATTATCGGTTATGAGTGTTATGATAAATTGGATTTTCACATTTGGAATCGATCGTAACAAGATTGGTAGGTATTCGGCTGATGATAGGAGTAATGGAGTTAGTTCAATCCCAAATTATGTTGAGTAGAGTGTCAAGATAAAATCGACTAACTTGCCCTATAAAGGGGGTGAATTACGGTCACACGAGCTGAACCATTTGTATTCTATCAAACCAAGACTATAGTGATTCCGAAAGCATATCTAATCAAACCCTTGAAAAATAATATAGCAGTATTCTGATGTCCGCTCAAAAGCCACTCTCATCTGAGACACCATCATAATTATTATACTATGTTCATTATAGCTTCACATATTTCATCAGCCAATAATGGAGAGCCTATCTAATGAAAATCTATTTTATCCTGTGTGATATCTACTGAAGAGTTGATGAACTAGAATGATAGTGGAACTCCTCACATGGGACTGTATAGTTTCAAAAATCATAGTTATGAGTACGATTGGACTGGCAGAATAACTCAATTGCAGTTTTAACAGAAATTCAGAAAGAAGAGATACCATGAAATTTGCTTCATTTTCAATATATCCTGAGGTATGTAGGTTGTGTGAAAGCAATAGATCTACTATTATCAAATACTTTTTGCAACTTTTTTTTCTTCTTGATATTCTTATTCCTCAGAAACTTGAGAGTGTTTATCGAATGAACACTATTGTACTATCGAATGCATCGATCATAATGATTAGATTCCTCTATATTTACTTATTCGCAGTATAGTACATACACGGAAAAAAAGGAATTGTTGAATCAAGCAAAATTTAATTGAATGGAGCAAATAAAAGTGTCATATATGCACGACAAAATATAATCTTGAAATGAGTAAATCTATATCTTGTTTCAGAGCGAATTTGAAGTTTGAATCAAGTAAATATGTCTTGCATGAACTCTGGATCTGCTTCAATCAAGCACATCTATGAATGGTTTTGAAGAGATATCGAATCGGCTTAAACAATCATTTTGTTCGATTCAAAATAATAAGATATTGCTTCAATAAAATATTTAGTTGATTCAACGAAATATTTGGTTGATTCGATGAAATATTTGTTTGATTCAATAGAATATTTGGTTAATTCAATGAAATATTTTGTTGATTCAAGAGAAACTTTATATTCATTCGACAAATTGTTTTGTTGAACCAAATTCAAAATTCGAGAATTTTCTGAAATTTCACATCAAGAGAATAAACAAAACTAGGAAAAGTCGACTCCTAGCATCATCAGTCTTCACTTCTCTTCAGCTGATGGAGAACTATTTAGGATTGCTAATCATCCAAAGTTCGATTCATCTAGTTGATATTTCAAACACGAAGAATCAGGCTTCACGTATATAATGAATTCGAGGCAGACATAGACGAGACGAAATGATCGCCATCTAGAGGCGAAAATTTAAGTTGATGTAGAATGAACAAAATATTTCATTGATATTACATATTTCGTTGCTCTATTCAAGCAAATGAAGTTCATTGCTACATCGGAATAAGAAAACTTGTATGTTGTTCCAAAGATATTCTCATCAAAATGATCATCAATTGATCAAATCAAAAAAATGTTTATAATTGAATCAACATCGACATTATTTTGGATCAACATAATTTGTTTTTGATAAAACCATATATTTTGTTGATGGAATTGATATTATACTGTTGATTCAATTAGACTACATTCTTGATTTGAACAAGCTGCTTCCATGAAATAATCATGTATCTGGTTGATTCAACAAAAAATTGCTTAGTTCAACAAAAATAATTCAAGCATAAATAATTTGTTAATGCAACAAATCATTTTTTTCCGTGTAAAAATAGAACCATGAGAAGTTCAAAATCATCTGAAATAAATTATATAAAGAATTATATTTATTCTTCAGATTTTTAGCGAGATTGAAGTAGAATACGACACTTCAGTTACATATTACATATATATGTGAATTATCTTGAACATGCATTCCAATAGTGTCCGCCGAGCTGTCCATGCTTATTTTTTTTATTTCAATTCAATGGATTTTACAATCACAGATAATTAATATCCTCGTTAAATCTGTATTCAATATCAACTCGACTATTCATTAAAAAAGATTCAAACAGATTGGTACATTTGTAATGGATCATAAATAAGTTCATGTCATAATTTATATAATTGAATCGTATACTTACTGTGATCATAAATAGAATGAGGTGACCTTTCGATCATTGCCATATTATATGTTCGTACTGCATTACAATAAATTTCTGGAGGCATTAATTTGCTTTCTTCTGATTTCTTCTCGTGGACTATTGTCTACCAGAATTTACTCAGCTATTATGCCCTAGAAGGGTTAGGACGTAATCAGCAAGCGTTGAATGATTCACAATTTCAGCTGAATGGCTTTGGCATGTTTGAGCTAGCTGGAGCTAGTGACCAACTGAGATACTTGCTTCACTTCAATAATAAGAATAGTAATATTGAATATCCATCATTCTCAAACAGAAAATCCTACTATAAATTTATTGTCATTACCTAGATTATTTATTCTGGAAGTAAGTACAGCGAAAAAAAATATGCTCCCAGTCAGAACTAACAGAGTTCGGCCGTTAGTTTTATAATGGTTCAGTAAGGACTCCTCATATATTATATACTTTAAAGGCTATATATTATATAGCCATTCGTCCAAGCTTCCCTTCGTGATGTGTATACTGTATCACTCCCGATCATCATGAGCCCTGAATATAGCATCTAGTGGCAAATTTTATAATGATTCAAGAGACTAAAGCTGAGGTACATGATATAGAGATAAATTTTAGAACAATATGGAGAGTTACAGACATATCATCAGCACTCTGCATTCGCACAGTTATGTTGCTGTTTTGCAGAATCTGTTCGTTCAATTTAATGCCCAATTATACATATTGTCAGTCATATTTAGAGCATTAGGACTCAATAATTTCAGAAACCTATAAAAATATTATTAGCTGGAGTATGGTGGGATCATCATAGCCTTTCGTTACCTAGAACAGTATCTTGAGCCAGAAATGTTTTTCTAGACCTTTCGGGAGATACTATAGATGATTCCTAAGAGGGTATTTGCCAGTAAGCCGCAGCATTATTCAGATCTACAAGCAGTTTTGCAAACTTTGATGAGAGCTCTATACATTTTTGATGGAACAGAAATGTTAGGATTTCGAACGCAATCTCTCAATAGTTCCATCACGCATGAAACTCGAATTAGGGCCAGAATTTCCGCTCGAATCACCGGTAAATAGTGAGTCGGTAGTTTGGAAATAAGCGACAAAGCTCGTTTGGAGCCTGTTTAGGCAGTCAATTTGGCCGTATTCGGGCCATAATCAGCGCTTTGTGCATTACGAGTATCGGGGCCACGTTCAGTTCAAGCAGTGCGGGGTTCTCTCTAACGATGCCAGCGAAATTTCCCTCCAACTCGACAACCCTCCATTGACGAGCAGCGCGGCGTTGCCAGATTGAGTACTTCTACCACTGACCTACAAACAACAAATGGAAGACACATGAGGATGCGCGAAGAACTTTTATGACTAACAACCCATCATTGAATTTGGTTAAGGCACCTACGCAGTATGAGTATGTTAACGTCTGCACTGCATGTCTTTGATCTCTATTTTCGTATCTTGTTAGAACGTTAGCTGGCATTCCTCTTATCTCATTTTCATTACCCCGTCAGCCATTTTTACGTTGTTTTTGAATTTTTGCTACAGTTTTGTTGTGTTTTTTGATCGATCTTGAGGAAGTTTGTATATAATAATAATAATAATAATAATGGTCTTAATCCATCAATTACAAATTACAAAATACAAATTACATCAAGATTGAGAGTGTTTGATAATGCGTTGATGAAGGGCGAAGTTCAGCCTAGGCTGTTTTTCGAATATGTATGTATGTATATATGTATGTATGCATGACTGTTTGTATGTAAGTATTTTTGTTACTTGTCATAAGACATATTGCAGCGATGATACACGATGTTTCAGATTATCCAGGACCGGCCCAGTACGATACAAACTGTGCATACTCGTCAGTCAACTTTTCCACCATCCAATCATGCATGTGGCATGCGCTTTTTTAATCAAGTGTTCGATTCAGTGTGGAATTGAGAACTGTCATTTCCCTTTCACTCGTTGTTCATAAGGTCAGTGACGTCTACTCAACAACTTCCCGATTTGTCCTGTCCAGAACAAATATGACTGATATGAGATATGAGGTAATTAGCAAAGGCATTTTCTTGAACTTATAATGAATAATTACTCGCCATACAGTTATTCTGCCTTCTAATACAGAAAAGCGCAGAAAAGTCATGAGAGATTTCTGAATTGCTTCCAATAATCACCCGTTTTCACTGGAGAGTATAGGTAAGAGATACATTGCATTTTGAAATACCTAACCTCTAAAGCGGGATCTAAAACAAAAATTGTAGATAATTCCTTGAAATCCCAATAACAGATAATTCGAAGGCATTCATTTCCATGTGATGGAATGAGTATAATTCATAAGAGATATCAATGTGACTGATGGCTACCAGTATTTTATATATTCACCATATTGAATA